TAAGATAATTAAAATTATTCTTTAAGAAATTATTATTATATTAATAATTTAAATAAATATATTTTAATTATTTAAAAAAATAACTTAAAAAAATATAAAGTACTTTAAAAGATTTATAAATAAAATATAATATATTTATCATTACTTTGAAGGCTTTAATATAAGTAATTAAAGCTTTATAATTATAAATAAAAGAAGATTTACTTACTTTATATATAGGTATATTAATAAGAAAGAATAATAAAGAAACGCCTTTACTAAAGTTCTTAACTTTAGGTTTAGTCTTTAAGACAAAGACTAACTAGAGAGGGAATAATATTACAGCACCTCTTAGTAAGGAAAGATTGCCTGAGCCACAGGCTGCACGGACCCTGTGTGAGGAGACCCTGGAACTAACCAAGCCCAAGGGGCTTGGCGAAAGGACACGCTCATGCGGAGACAACCTTGAGCAAGGTGTTCGTGAGGAGGGACTGATGAGCAACGCTCACGAGCGCTCATGAGTGAGCAGCCATGAGCACGAATCTCTTAGCCTATATAAGCACGCTCATTTCCCAGATAGTTTCATAGTCTTCGTAGTCAACTCATGTTATCAGCTCATACCTAAGTTGAAGACATCTTAGTATTGTTCACTGTACTTCCTGTTCTACCCAACCAACCCTTTGGACCCAGCTTCTAGTTGAGACTTGTCTTAACCAGTTGAGCCCTAACACTTTAGCCCACGGTTGATCATGTGAGGTCTGAGCTTCTGAGGCAAATGTTTGGGCACTGAAACAGAACTCATGGTTGTCTAAAGCTCACTGTGAACTTCGTTCCTGGTTGTCAAGCACTGTATATATTGAAAAGAACACATGGAATATGTATCGATGTAGTCTATCTCCTATGTTCTAGCAATGTTCCCTCTTGAATGATACGTAGCCTCTTCTTGAGGCTGTGTTTGTTTTTCGAGAAAGTCGCTAGAATCAAAATATCTAGTCTCGGTAGAGCAAAAGCAAGCTATCTCAAACCTAACATTCATCAGAATTGAACTAACCGGAAATCCACTGTGGGCACAGTCGATCCGTATCTCGAGTCGCGAGATACTCAGCGCCGAACCTTCCGAAAAGACTATGCCGGACATGCTCAACGCCTCTCCGCCAATGGACCACCGTCTTGTGCCGCTCGATGTTTCGCAAAAGACACAAAATGAACAGATTTCTTTCCTTCCTCAGATAGCTGCATGTTATGACAGTCAACATCCTCTAGTGTACTGTGTCTTCCCCACGCATATCACAATGTCCATCATCTCCCATTAATCTCGGCGCTGGACAACCACGCCAGTGCTGGATGGATTCTTGAGTCTCCGTTCATGCATCATGCTGCACTGAAGACGACGCAAAGTTCCAACCGAGAGAGCGCATCATCAAAATTTCGGGGTTGGGCAGAAGGGCCTTGTTGTCTTTGATCCAATGTTTACCTAAGAGAACATCGAAAAGAGGTTGCACGTCATCTGAAATGACCCAGAATTGGTCGTAGTAGGTGAATCCCTCGTGGCGATTGACGTGCCAGGTCAACATGATGAAGCCAACTGGGACGATTGGGACATTACCAAGTCCTGTCAGTGTGGGTCCTTTACGGACTGTGAATTGCAGCTTTAGGTTACGCAAGGTTCTTTGAGAGACCAGATTGAGGTCAGACCCGGTATCAAGCATACATCGGCAGACCTCAGTCTCATGGGGTAGATCTCGGTTCAAATGTATATGGATTGTCACCACCCATGGTTGAGCATCCGCCCTTCGAGAATCAACCATTCCTTTAGGGGGGGAACTTGCATTCGTTTGGGCCGATGCAATTGGTAGGACATGTCCATACGTGGCTGGTGCCGTATTTGATCGTCGTACGGCAGTACATTGGTGCCCAAGGCCGTGTGGGCGTTGGGGCTGCTCTGCCGCACGTATGTCAGATTTTCTCGGCACGACAACCGGGCTGTCAGTTGATGTGAGCTCTCCTTTCTCTTGTCTGGCAGGCAGCATGCGTGCCTACGGTCAGTCGATTAGAGCTTATCCCTGTAGCAAAAAGGAGCGTACCTACATTTATCAGGAAGTCATGTAGCCTCTTCCTGATCGCCCGCAACTTCGACCTCGACCTCCTTCGGATATAGGTCATACTTGAGTCTTTATTCTGCCGCACATTATGCCTGGTCATCTTGAGACCAGGCAACACGGAAGATGAGAGCCGGCCTTTGACAGGAGCGGCTTAATTGCCTCTTTGAAATATGTAAGGCTCAGTGGGAGGAAGCTGAGGCGTCGGGTCGTCACCCAACAGCCTTCTTCGGCCAGATGTGGTCGTGACCCCTTAGGTGTACTGCTGGAGGACAGTGCTCCAGTGCTGACGGTAGCAGCTAGTAAGGATGGTTGAGTAGGATGATAGGTTCGGAGAATGTCGACGTTGCCTGCCGAGGCCACGAATCTCAACTGAGTCTTTGTTCTGGATGGGACCGGCGTTGGAATGAGGCAGAGATTTATATCAGGAATACCGGGAATAAGAAGTACTGAAACCGATGGTGGCTGCGTCTTATCCAAAGAGGGTGGGAGAAAGGAGGGAGGATTGCTTTTGTTGGTATCGCTATGAGTTGGTAGACCCGATTAGATCAGAGCGAACACCTGAGTCAATAAACACCAAAATGTAAGCTAGTTCTCACGTTCATGGGTAGTGGGTGCTGCGCACGAGAAGGCTGGGCTAAGTCGTGATCTCTATCTAGCAGACAGCAAGGCCTATCTCGATGGATCTTCAACTGATCATAGCCCCTCACGTTTCCCGGAGTCTTTCAGTGCCCAAAATCAAGTTCGAAATCTGACTGCAATACCATCTCCGTCACATATAGTAGGAGAAGGTCTCCTCACAGAGCTGCTGAAAGATGATATAGTCATTAGGGCGAGTTCCGCTCGCGAAAATACCAGAGCTGCGGCAGGTTCTTGCTCCGGTTGTGGCGGTTCAGTAAGCTAAAGTCGAGCTTCTGCATAACATACAAGGTTCAACGGTGGTGCTGCTGTTTGCCTTGCTGCCCAAGGTCAACTGAGCACGCTGAAGAATGTCGAACCTCTGAGCTCACGAAAATGGATAGAAATACCGATGGCGCCTCAATACCGACTTGGCCTAGTGGTTGACACCAAGGCTGATAAGTAGTCAGGCTCCCCGTTGCCTGCTGCATCATTGCCTTATCCCAACCCCGCAGTCTGCCCGATAGCCCAGGAGCAGTCTTAAGCAAGTCACTGATACGAACAACATGTTTCGCAGAACCTGTCATAAGAATTCTGCTCTCTGGTGAGTAGACACAATTGTAATGCGTGATCGGTTTAACCTCATAGCTCATGTCTGGATATGAGAGACTTTCCCGCCTCATTGGCACTTATCCCGAGCTCGCAATCTATCGCAAGTTTAGCACCCTTTGTACGAGGTTACTCTTGTACAAGCAAGCTGAACTTAAGCATCTGGAAAACAAGCTCGATATCATCTCCCAAATAGATGCTTGTGATCTGAGGAAGTCTGTGTATGCGGTGTCGTGAGAGGCACTGAACGGGGCTTCGGAAATAGGTGGTGATAATCTTCAGAGACAGAAAGTCATGGAAATAGATGAGATGGACAATTATTGTCAGCTAAGCACTATGATATGAGATGTAGCATGACTGACTTACAGACAGACTTTGCTCTTCTCCAAGCTTGTCAAATCCACAATCTCACAAAACCAGTGAAATACAACATAAGCCTTTTGAGAGAATAGCTTGAGCGTCCTGAAAGAGGCGACTATTCCATTAAAGGCGTCGAGGCAGAGCTATGGAAGCTATGCAATGCATCAGACCTAATCACGCTTTCACGGCAAGATGCGAAAGACGAATTCATACAATCTTTGAGCGACAAAATCCTGCCATGGTATCATTATTACTTCGGTCGTCACTGCCAGAAGTCTGCAAAGCCTGATGATAGCGACCTTGATGCTATTTGGGAGTATAGAACCGAGGTCTTTGTTGCTTTAAGAAACATAACCTGCATGATTATGTCGTCCATCATCCTGACCACTTCCATTCTTCACTCTGCATTTTGTAAAGAGTATGGTAGCCCGACTGGCTGTGATTGCCGCAATGAGCTTCGTCTTCTCTTTTGTCATGATGGTTGTCGTTCGAGGCAGACGTGTTGAAGTATTCGCGGCAACCAGCTTCTGCAGCTGTGCAGGGTGTCTTCGTCGACAAGGTCAACGTTATTTCACCATCATGAGAAGAAAGAAGAAACGCCACTAATCGATGGCAGAGGCAGATATTCAATAGAGTGTTTGAGACCTTGAGTTTCTATGTCGAGCTGTGTACTCCAACAGAGTTTTGGAGCCTGATGGTAGAGGTGCAAATCTCCAGTGGCATGTGCTTCCGCATTTATTAACTCTTGACATAAGTAGTCCAGTTTCAAACTTTGTGCTTTGTCAGGCGCAAACACATCTAGATACCACGTTCACGTTACTTATTATGGTCTTTGCACTTGGGATCCTCCAGTTTTCCCTGCTCTACTGATCCTCCTCGTGACACACCACTCCGGGGTCGGAATGGTTCTCGAATTTGAGCTGAGAGTTTGCAGATACACCACGAGACTGAGTATGTGGTCAGATGATACTGAATTCTCTAATCTCACTCTTTGATCGTTCTGCATCAGCAATTACGAAATGAGTATTCGTCTCACTTCTACAAACCCATTCGATCCACCGGTTTCCTTAATAGCTGTGCGAATCAGGAAAACGTGTAGCCCAGAAAAGCTCTTCGATAGGACAAGCGGTCCAGAACTGACTCATTATCGTTCCTCTTTGCAATGTCCTTCGAGCAGGCTTCTGTTGAGGCTTCAGGGACTTTTCAGATGCTGCTACAAGGCCAGTGCATCCTCCCCGGCCTCTTGCTGACCGACTTTGGCCCTGTAACCCTGTTCCTACAGTTGTACAAGATCCTGTTGCTCGCCGTTCCGCTCCGAGCAAGACGAACCACATCCACCCGTGCAAGAAGTCCTCTTACTACGCACCCTGCCCCTTTTCTTATTTCCCCAGGTCAAATACGTCTAGATCGATAAGTCCAGAGGACTCAACCAGCTCCTGTTCCTTGCCCAGCACCTGATATTACTCTTTCACAGCGTTTACCTGTACCAACAGGGCAGCTGGGGCCTTGACCCTCCTGTTGTCCTCGCGACCTTCCACCCTTTGCTCTTCCGCATAAGCTGCTTCCCACGGTCAAAGAGATACTCGCCTCCAGAAAACAAGCCGTATCTAGAATTTTTCGCACTTGGAATTAGTACGACGGCGCTATCGGTGCAGTCTAACGCATTTACATAGCCTTCCTCAGCGACCGTGCGTCAAAAATCCGTGAGGAAATTGAACATTTCAGGAATCGGGATCATCGGAAGGTGGCTCGCATTCCCAAACCGCTCATGCAAGATTCCGAGTCACGTGTGCTGGCCGGAACCACCTGCCTCTCGTCAAAGCTTTCAATTGTCTCATTGACCGAGGTCTGCCGCGGGCTGCGCCACCAATCATGTTCCAAAGGGTGATGGAAGAGAGATGAAACCCCGACCTAAGAAACTGGAGTGGGTCTACTCCGTACAGATGGGCCGAAACCCAGAAGGTTCAGCCTCTGCAGCCGCAGCTAGTCATTCCTAATTTCTCAGGCAAAGTGCCAAGGAATATTCGAAATGTTGCTGCTGACATGGAGACGCTGAAGAAGAATGTCTTGACCTTTACTGTGCCGATTTTTTTCATATGATACGCTACAAGCTGACCGGTATTCACAGATAGCAATTCAACCATGTTCCCCCAGCGAAGCCAGAGAGCTACCTATCTCTCCTTCCAAATCTCCACATACTAACATAGTATCAAATGCCATGAATGCCAATACCACGCCTTATAAACCTTAGCCACCTTGATCCCGGCCCCCTTTCTTATCCACGTTTCCAAGGCGCGGAAATCAACGGAAAGAAGCCGAGGAAATATACTTCCCTCCTACTATCGCACTTCGAGATACTCTCGTACTTACGTAGTACTACTACGGTTCTGAGAGGCAGAAGTAGCCATGGCTCGGCGCTAGTATCTTTACCCGGAGACAACCTGCAAACGAAATAGCTAAGCCCTAAATAGTTAAGCGGTTCTGTGAAGACCAATAACTATGGGTCATTGTCTAAGAAGCTTCTAGACATCAATGTGGCGCTGTATCAGAACTAGCTGCTTCTAGCGCCGAGCTATGGCTACTTCTGCCTGATACTGTTGTAGAATGCCCTATAATCACTTACTCCAAGCAGCTACGCAACCCAATCCACAATCATTTCTTATCTCCCTACCATATCCTCATTCGGGCAGATCGAAGCATAATAGTAGTTAGTTCAAGCTACCTATTCTCCATCCATCCATCCATACATAGCTATATAGCAAAATCTCTTCCAGCGGTCCCCAAAATGAGTAAAAAATGACGCTTGCTTCAGTAAAATAAATCGATCTCAGCCATCTACGCACCTAGTGCATCTCGCCCACTCGTAAGCCGAAGGACCAAGGCATTCATCCAGTACTAGCTGAAGTAAGGTGCGAAAGGCCGCAACGGAGCAAGCGCCAATGTGCATCAAGCAACCAGAGAAAGTAAAGGCAGTGTAGGAAAGGTGTAGCCTACTCTAATACCACAAGTAAGCTACCCTATCCTGCCCAGCCCAGTCCATCATCCAAGCCCAACCCCCACAATTTAACAATCCTGCAATCTGCCATGCTATGCGCAGACAATTCCGCACGATGAAAGCAACCCCCCCTCCCCCCCCTTCCCCTTTCGCAGACCAACTCAAGTATTGACCTGCCATCCAATCCCACCTCCACCATTGCTATACCCGACAATCTGGGTAAAGACCTGATCTCTATTACTCAGGCCCACGGTTCTGAATTCATTATCCTCGGTATCGGTGAAGAGGAGATCATCACCGGAAGAGATGGTTGAGGTTCCGACGATCTGTACGACATTATCGTTAGTCTGCTCGATGTTTAGGAGGAGAGAGAGAGAGGGAGCAGGGAGAGAGAAAATGCGGGAAGTGGTGCTGGTAGAGAGGATTTGGATGACGGAACCTTCTTGATTGCCTTGAGTTGATCATATCTCAGCCGCCAGCTCCGGTCTTTGCTCAGGTGCGGCTTGAATGATACGTCTTGGGTGGTTACGGTCAGGTTGCCGTGGCGGTTGCGGCTTGTGCAGTGGTATCGTCCAACTAGCGTGCCTGGGTGTTCGCCATCATGCACAGGGGTGTCTGCTATGTTTGTAGTAGAGGCGTCATCCATGGCTGTACTCCCCTGATCGTTGGCTCCAGACGCCGCAGATTGCATCGCTTCAAGTTGAAAGGCGGCTTCTGCTTGTAGGCGTGCAACTGCCCATTCAGCTGAAGACACCCATCATATATTAACATATGCGCAACTACGGAAGTGAAGTGGATCAGACCCAGTAAGGAGATCAGATTTACATACCGTGAGTTGGAACCTTCCAAAAGATCAGTTTCATCGGTGATGTCAGTAGCCTGTATTGAGGGTATCGATGCCATAATGGCATCAGGACGAAGAAGATGAGCCCTATCACGAAAAGAAAGCTCTTGACAAGCAATCGCGACGGGGTAAAGATGACAACAAGCGATAGCATCGCCAGCTTTCCGAGTGAAGCCTTAGTGTGGTTAGGATCACGCCACTCATAGAAGCTAGGTAAATCAGTAATGGTGCCGTTTGCCAAAAGAATCCCGGAGGCATTGATGGCTGGGCATAATGGTCTTGAGGCAGGGTGTGTGGACCGTCTTACTTTTGAAGGACTTCCAGGAAGTTCGCCATATCCTCCAGCTGCAACAATACTGATGGTCCTGTCTTCTCTACCAATGCACTCACCCATCCCTGTGCTCCGTGCTGCTCGATTAGCTGAGGTATGCTCCAAGCTGTGAGATCTGGATTCTCAGACCGCTCAAGCTCTTGGCGAAGTTCTTCGATCGTAGGATGACAAGAACGACGCTTTATCACTAACCCCAGAAGCGCGAGGAGCTTGGAATGCGTCAGTCCACTAGTTGTTGTACCATAACCCCAACCGTTTGCAGACGGCCATGACTGTTCCGACCCGGTTTGGATTATTGGAGGACAGAGATGAGCTCACCGCAGATCCAGCCAGGCAATCGTACCACCAGAGGATAAAGTACACTGCCATGTAGCAGGCGGAGCGTTCCGGCTGCTTCCACAATGAAACTTCACTCGATTTCATCAAGAATTTCTGATAAGGTGCCGATGTGAGGACGACTCTCTCCAAAACAGAGATGATAGCGCCTTCGGTCGCTTTGGGCAATTCATCGGAGGTGCCTATATATTGGGCTCCGTAGCGCTCGATATAAAAGTGAAGGAGCTAGGAACACGGTGAGCACGAAATCCAAATATGATTCCTGTACGCCGCTTTCGAGTACCATTGACGGACTGGTTGCCAACTATAATCAGGATATAGGAAATACGAACATAGTCACCATATTCCTTCCATTGTGTTCTATATCTGTCATGATCAATTTTCTCGACGAATTCCGTCCTCGGTCGTCGAGGCAGCTTGTCGGTTTCAACTCTCCTCACCAATTGCACATGCCGATTCATTGTCCAGCGAACGAACGAGTCCTGTCTAGATTTTTTCAGTCGCTCTAAATCTTGCATGGCCTGCACCCTGTCTGCGTCTGTTGTGGTGTTGGCGATGATATCGTAGGCTCGAACAATATTGACGTTGGCACCATGTGTGATGTCTGTCTTGGCTAGGTTCTCTGCATAAGCATCTCCCCCTTGTCGTCCGACAGCCGATTTGACAGTGTTCACAGGATAAGCCACCACTTGTTTGAGAGAAGGGCCGCTTGGTTTCTCTGGTAGAGCGTTAAATAAACGATCCTCATCCCTTGCAGTCGGCGCAGGTGGTGCTAAGGTTGGAGCTATCTTGGCTCCCTCAATCACGCGTTGGTCATCATGTATGAATGTCTCATCATGCTTTCTGGGATGTAGTTTTGCTTTCACCTTTGTGGTGATAGTTCGAACTTTAGCCAGAACCTTGGAGTCTGCGTCAACGGGTGATGATGTAGATTCATTGTCAGCATCTATGAGATTTTGAGTGAGATGCCCATCTTGGTGGTGAAGCTCAGTGGTGCTGTAAGCGTTGAGTGGTGCTCGGTCGAGATGAGTAGATGCGCTCGCCAAAGCATCATCTGCGGAATCCATCTTTCAAAGCACTAGCACGTCGACTGAAAACAGCAACAGTCAAATGCAGGATCAATTGGAGAGTAAGAAGTAACAATGTAGATGTACTGAGACGAAGAAGATGAGTCACCTTGACGAGAGGTGATGGAAAGGCAGGGCATGCAGCCGGGCTTGTTTATTGCCAATCGCACATACATCATTCTTTCACCCTTCACTGTCGAGTATATGCGAAAGACGAAGACGCATCTGCAAGCGCGTTGAACTGTCACATCATGGCATCCGCTGACCACGTCAGGCATGCAGTCAGGGTGTGTGGTACAGTGCAGCTAGAGGTTCAAAGTAATTTGATGCATCATGCATGCAGTGATGTCATTCAACGGGCGCAATAAAACGGTCGGGCATTTACAACTTGAACTACGTTACAACTACGTAGTACTCTGTACTGGCAGGGTTCCGTTCATCAAAACGTTTTGTTTCTGATCCCACCGACCATGTTATTAATCAGTATTAGTAATTAGTGATCACTTCTACAGATTTGGTGGATTTGTATGGAGTGTCTTGAGGTCATGTTGCGAAAGCTGACCTGTCTGCTCCAACCGCTCTACCAGTTGCTTGTACTTCACCGTCCACCACTTCGCCCATGTTTGGTCGCGCTCAAGTATGGCTCTTTCCACGGCGGTGTGAAGGTCTATTTCCATACGGCGCATTCTTTCCATTAAGTGGAAGTCCCTGTCTTTCCACCTGTTCTCCCATAAGTCTTCGATGGCATTGCAGGCCGTTTCCACCTTAGCTTCGGTGGTCGACTCCAGATGTGCAATTCGGTTCTTGAGGTCATCAACCATAAAATCTCGTCCTCGTAGTTCTTGTCGATAGATTGTGTCTTGTTCGTGCAGGCGTTGGCGGAGAGCTATAATGTCCTTGTCTCGTTCATGTAATGCTTTTCTATGATCACGATCGATGGTACGTATCAGCCGGGTATAATGCACGGAAACATCATTCTCCGAATCCATTGGAGGGGGAGGATAAGTGTCTGCATAGCCTTCTTCTATTCGGGCAGGACTGTGTGCGGTGACCGTCCGCTGGTCGTCAGGGGTCGAAGGAGGTTGAGTGGCATCAGGCACCGGCGGTGGGGAGGGAAACGATCCCGAGGCATTTCTGCCGATGAACATAGGGGAGCTAGGTATCGATAAAAACGAGTGATTGTCATTTCCAAGCCTGGGCTCTGCTGAACGTGGAAGTCGGCAATTTGGAGACCTTAAAGCTACAACAGGGTCTCGATCTCTGCCAGCTTCAGACTGCTGCTCATTCACCATATTCGTGATCAGGGTGGGCAACCTTACTCCGTTTCGGCGACGTAGCGGTGAGCTGAGGTTTAGCGGTTTCCGTGGGATAGCAGAAGGTTTATGAATATGGTCCTCCGACACTGCACGCCTTTTAGTGACGGATATCGTATCCTTGCCAGGAGTGTACGAGGGGTTTCTTGTGAGACTAGTGTCTGCCGCAGCTCTAGAACCACTGTTCTGCGGGTGGAAGACGTCATCTGGTGTGAGAGGAAGGTGCACAGGCAGCGGTCTCATGGAAAGGAGGTTCCGAGGTTGGCCAGATTCGTAATCTGGTACCTCAGTGGAGACTGATCGCTCATCGTGTGAATTCTGCGTATTAGTGCTCTCACTCGCGCCACCATTGACACCTCCGACTTGGACAGGTGGACCGTATTTAGGCAAAGTGTCTTGGAGCTCGCTGGTGGTGATACGGGAACCATCCCGATTGATCCTGAAATGATATGGGTCAATATTAATGTCGATACTGCGGGCGTCTTCAGTCGCAGTGTTTGTGCTAAGCTTCGTCCTGGTAGAGATGATACTGGAAGCTCTTGAGGCATGCTGTCGACCTTGCCAATATGCAGCGACTTCTTGAGACCAAAGAGGGATCTGCTCGCTGTCTGAGACGTTGGACCGATACGATGGCACAGGTGACGTGACGGACGGAAAATCTGGAAGAGGAGGTCGCTCCATTCGTGTCGTAGACGCCGAGATGATCACTACAACCAGTGACTAGCACTGCGCAGATGCTCCAGAGTTTCTTAGTAACATAAAAAATGAAGATGCGACACGATGTCAAGTAGTTTTCAGATTGTGGTCGACTCGGCACCTGGCCAAGATAGAAAGCTCTTGGTGGTATCTTCACGTCGAGGTTAATGGAAGCCTTGTCTTGCCCGAGTCATTGCACTGATACCAAATTGCAAGGGTAGAAGCCAGAAACTCGATGACAGCGAACCGTAAAATGGCGTGCATGTAACAGTCGTATATTTGCACCATCCAGAACAATTTCAAGTAAAGAGCTTGTGAGGGAAGAGATTGAAAAAGAGGTTGTTGACACGATGGGCGAAGTTTGACCGGCACGCCTTAGGCAGCAGGATAGAACACAGCCTCATCCCCGCCTGCAAGTGCACTCTTCACCCTGTGAGATGTTTAACAACCTACCTATCCAATAGGTGAACGAGCCGATCGATATGCTGTCGTCGCGAAATAATAATATGGTTAATATTCTCAGACCGAAGGGCACAAGTAGAAAAGTGAAGAGATAAATTGCGGTCAGTTGCCATGGGACTGACGGAGTAAATATTGCCTCCTGTTTTGGAACCACCGGGTTTTATTTATTTACCAACGGCTTATAAGTTACAACACGCCAGGCGAGGCTTCCAAGTGACCACGAACACCTCAACTACTTAGACCATTTCTCTTCACCCCGAGGTCGCACAGGACTTTCGGAACCCAACAGATCGTTCATCTTGCAGGAGGCAAACAACGAGTGCGCAATTCTCTTCTCCCGCTGCGCTGTCCCCGAGCGGAAGGCCACAAGGCTGGCTCCGTAGCTCGGTTTGAAATTGAGTGCTGAAGGCACAATGTCCATCAAGTCAGTGACCACAATACCCTTTCTCTCTGATGCACATCTCTCTCTCAGCGCGTGTCATGATGTCAGAACTTTCATCTCCCGCCTGCTGGATTCTTGTTTGTTCTAGTTTGGAAATAGAGATTATGCTTGTGATGCTGGACTACGCGTTCAAGTTCCTAGCTTCCGGCTTAGTTATGGATACTAACAAGATACTCTGCACAGTTGGGTGATGCTGGACGAGCAAAAGGGGGGCTTCGTCCATCTCGTAGGTGAAAAATTGATCTATGCTTCGCCTGCTCGGACGGGTTTCGCTCTCACTACGCCACGAACATATCCGGGAAACGATCCACTGTCAATTCAGAGCAGTGCCGGCATGGTCTCTCTTACGAATCAGCGAGTGAGCTAAACGCTTCATTTCGTTGATTGCTTCCTGACCAGGATAGATAGTATACCTACCAGCCGCCTCGACACCACAATTTATGTCATTTTCTTGCCCGTTAACCAATCTGCACGATAGCCATGTCTCAGCACCGATGTTCGGACCAAATGTCTGGCAAGCAGTTGTACAACCGGTTGTAGGGGGCGGAATATCGCCGAACCACTCTCATGTTGAGATCAAATTGACCTTCAAAGAGGGGGGTGCCTTTGACTTCCATACAAATTTTGAGCGCATCAAGGAACGATTACACCAAGCCGTCGAAGCTGCCAGAGCGAGTGGCATTACAGGAAGTACCTCGAGTAGAGGTGCTGGGCCCATAGCTGGCGTCAACATGGATGCCGTGCATCTGGATGAGCTTCCGACATATCAAGATTCAGGACTTGATGCATTGGCGCCGCAACCTGCTCCGCCAACACCGCCGTTGCGAGCCCCGGTTCAGCGAGAGGATCCAGCGCCGTCTTTTCAGGAGGTTGTCGAAGGACGCGCCCCAGCGCAGAGGCAGAATACAATTCCGACAGATGCACCGCCTGGATACGAGGAGACACAGCAGCAGAGCATTGAGCAGGAGCTTGAGGCAAGGCTAGCAAAGGCTTCTTGATCTAGATTTGTGGTGCAATGGCGCGGAATGTTTTTTCGAATCATAGGCTTAGAAATGGAGCATGCACTTTCCGGGCACGTGCATTAATTGCAAAGCACACTTTCGAGACACTCTATGAGTCGAGTAACTTAGAGCTTCTGCTTTAACTGGACTGCAGTAGGATCCACTAGCCCAAAATTATCCTACGTTAGTCTCTTTTCAGCTGTGAGTACCAAAAGCTCCAGCTCCGAAACCAACGCCAATTGAGACATTATTCTTCCCCCATCGTCTCCCACGGTCTGCCCACACTCTTTTTGCTTTCCCATCACACTTCCCTGAAGCTTAAGATGGGGATCACCGACTTTTTCTCCGACCTCATGGCCACTGTAGGCTTTCATGAAGCTCACGCCGAAGCTCCCGCCGAGGAGGACGAAGACAACAAGGACGGAGGTGGTGACGAAGACAGAGAGGAGAAGTCAGTAGAAGGTGATGGTGGAGGAGAGAAAGCAGAGGAGGGAGGTGATGAAGGAGGCGAGAAGGAGGAGGAAGAAGGAGAAGAAGCAGAGGCTGAGGAGGAGGAGGAAGAAGAAGATGATGAGCCAGTAGATCCGAAACCGAAGATGGAAGCAGGTCAGATCCCTCTACTGCTATCCTACCGGGGGCCCAGAAATGGGCTGTGCAGATGAAATCCTCGACTGCCAGTCTGTGTGAGTCTTTCAACGCTGACACTCTGTCATAATTCACAGAATGCGCCAAATCTGCCCAATGCGCCCCATACAAGCACCACTACGATGAATGTGTCGAGCGAGTGACGGCCATGCACGAAGATCCAAATTACAAGGGACCCAAGGAAGACTGCGTGGAAGAGTGTAAGTTTTGGGAACCTCACTCCTCCCAGGCCTCGCGGTCTCCGCTGACTGGCATCGTCTCAGTCTTCCATCTCCAACATTGCGCAACGCAATGCGCCGCACCCAAACTCTTCAAGGCCCTTAAGTAAAACGATGAACGCCACGTCTGAGGGTGGCCCAATGCTCCAGACAGATACCTCCATAGCAGGGACAAAGGAAGAGCAAGGACAATGTCATCATATAAACTCGACTGTACAGCATTCAATATTATATTCTCTAAACCCAACGGACGTTCTCCGAAACATGTTTCTTGTTGTTGTGTTTGTACAAATACAGAATACAAGATATATCTATATATTTGTTGAATCCCAGACGCCGCTCCACGCTGATAGCACTCGCTGTGCCATGTGCTGGATAACCAGGCATCTGCTGAGAGACAAGAAAAAAGCACGAATACCTACACAAGAAAATATAGCACAGAGTCGACTTAGATGCTCAACAGCCATCTGCTCTCTATATCATCGTACCTCCCTCCCTTCCCCCCACTAAATTGCCCTCTCTTTCACCCTCAATATCCCCTTTGTCGACCTCCAACCTCCTCCTGACCACCCTCGCGCCCCTAAACCCCAACCACAGCGGCGCAGGCACAATCAGCATCGCCACCACTGCCTGAAACACCAACGCCCTGTGCATATGTAACGGCGGGCCCGCCCCTTCGTCTGCTTTCAACGCATTCTCAATGATAATAAACAGCCCGCCCCAAAATTGGCCGCCGGTCCAACAGACCGTGCTCCCCACCTCCGGTCCAAGGGGGTACGAGATCTCAACCAGAAACTCCAACGCCACAGGAACCAAGCCGAAACTCGCTGCACCAAGCACACTGAGGACGACGTAGGGGTAGACAAGGGTGCGACTCTCCGGCGCCCAGATGAATACTAGATAGCTGAGCGCGATGAGGGGGACGGTGATTTTGATGTAGAGGAGATAGAATTTGTAGCGGTCGATCAGCGGGGAGGAGAGGGCGGCGGAGACGAGGCCGACGAGGATGAGGAGGGCGCCGGCGATGCCGGCTTGCGTTTCGGTGTAGGCGTAGGGGTAGAGGAATTGGTTTAGCAGGGAGGAGGAGGAATTGAAGAGGGCGACGTAGGTCCAGAAGGGGAGGATTATTAGGAGGTTGGGGACGGAGGTTAGAAGGTTGTGGAGCGATGTAATGAGGGTGCGGGTGATGGCGGAGGATGAGGAGTGGGTGTTGTTGAGTTGAGTGTGAGAAGCGGCTGAGGCGCTGGGGGGCGTGGGAGGAGCGGAGGGGATAAAGAAAGAGGGGACGCAGGCGATGGTACACTGGGCAAGAAAATTAGCTTGGTCAGGTACTAAGGCATGTGAAGTTGCGAAGGCCGTGCTTACAATGATCGAGACGTAGAGGATCATGTTGGGGATGTCCGATGGTCTTGATGCCCAGAGAGGATTGATCAGTTGGGCTAAGGCGCCCCCGAAGGGATTGGCAAGGCTTGCGACAGCTGTCGCGCTCACTCTTCCCTTTGCACTGAACCAAACATCGGAGTACCGTGTGGGAGCGCTTAGAACGAATGGTTGAGCGAGCCCGACAAGAATCTGCCCCAACATCACCGCTCCAAAGTTCCCTGCTCGGGTACCTCCATATCGTATCCAGTTTCCTACCAGTAGTAGGCATGATGCCACTATTATAGCACCCTTGGGGCCCGTCTTGTTGAGACTGTAGATTGTGAAGGGAGAGGCGACGCAGAAGGAAAAGAGGAAGGACGTGCTCAGCCAGTTGATGGCTGTTTCGGAGGTAGCGAAATATTCGGCAGAGGTCTTGGACACTGGTGAGAACGATAGCCAGTCCCACGACACAACAATGTTGAGCAGTACAAGTTGCGACAAGCCGAAGAAGCGTCTTTTGTACACTCGATAGATTGTCTGCGCTGCATTGGATCGCGGTGAGAGATTTCTTTCGAGACCAAGGGCAGGATCGTCTTCGCGAGGGGAGTCAATCACCTCGAGATCGCTGGAGTTGGACGTGCTAGCTTCGTGACTGTGATACGCATGGGCTTGGCCCTTGCTGTGGCTGCTTGTATTCTCCATCGTTACTCGTTACGTTTGTCAAGTCAAGGATGGAGTCTGGTTGTGTATTGTCTTGACATGGTAGGTATTCTCGCGCTCCTTGTGGAGCATAACGCTGGCAAGACGAGTTCGCAGATGGTGGACCGGAATCCTATGCTGTTGCTTTAGTCGTCGTGTATGATGTACTCCTTACACCCAGACGTAGTTGATAGTACATGTCGATGAGAGGTGAGAAGCCCCGATCCGAAACTCGCAAAGACCAAAAGGGGTTAACATGGCCAAGTGATACTGACAGCAGTGCCATTGCAACACACCTCCATTGGCAACGGTTTTAGGGCTGACACCAATTTCAGCCCGCTGCCCTTCTACAAATATTTTATCGAAATTGACGCAGAGACGGGTCGAATGGCCGGATTAAGCAATGTTGGCATACAAAAAACTATTTAAGCTGTATCAATCCATTCTCTCCAAAACAGCACGAGCAACCTTTGAATACCAGAAATAACCTCTGAGATCTCAAATGCGAAGTCTTCTCTGCTGCGGAAAGGGTAGCCATTGTAGCCTGATTTCTGCAGGACCACCATGCTCGACTCTGGGAAGAGTGTGTGACAATTAATCGACGCATGCAATGTACAGCCTGCTAGTAATACCCGCTGCAGCACGTGACCTGGGACCCCATCGCGGCACGGAGCTTTCTTCGGTGGCAGGGCAAATCACTAACGCCAATGTACGGCGTAGGTTTATGCAAATTTACATGGCGCTGTCGTTGACAGCGTTAATGACAAGGCGGTGAGAATCTGAGCTGTCGATTGACCGGGCTCGTTCCGCGGGTTCGTTCTGCATGCATGTATTTTCAAGCATATATTGCGCGTACTGTGCTTGAGGTGCTGACGGAAATGATCTGCTCAGGAGAACTTCTCGGTTCGATTGCATTCGCCGAACTTATGGACTGCTGACGAGTTGGTGAGTGCACATCACTTCGAGGACGCCTTATGGTCCTTCTCCATCTACCCTGGACACGGACTTAGCGGACCTTAACGACAGACAGGAGCGGTGGGCAGTGGCTGTGCGGGTAACAGTCTCCAGGTGGGCCAGACGGGAAGACTGAAAACTCAACAGAAACCCGCTCGACGAAAGTTTGCAAAGAGGGATAACGAGGAGTCAATTTATGGCCACTGGTCCCGCTGAAGAGCTTTTCGGGGCCACACCTTTTGTCTAAGCGGACTGCTATGAAGGAAATTCTGCACGGGGTTTTCAGCGGAGTGGAGAAATACGCGTGGCGAAGTAGTGAATTCAGAATGATGGATACTGATACAACCCGACTCTCTTATAAAAATAGATCCAAGGCATCTGTAATTTCAACAACGGGAGTACTGATGATAGTGCTTTCAAGAACCAATAAGGAGAGCGCCAAACACAGGCTTGAGTCCAGGTCAGTGCGAGTCTGTTTGTCGCGTGAGACACGGGGCAGTTGGCCCAGCTTTGAGGACCTGAAGTCTCCAATCCGGAGATTTGCGATCCATGGTTCTCCTCCATCGATGTCGCCTGCTAGACCATATGTCTTGTTGGGAACCATGGAGTTTCGAGTGACAGCCTTCTCGACGGCCTTTGCTTTAGCCGAAGGAATACTCGAGTCCAAGGAAACCTGTGAAACACCCAGTCCACAGATTGCTGGAATCTCAGTCAAGCGTTCCTCGTCGAGCATTTTAGAGATGCTGCGAAGTGAACTCTCTCCCACAAATATTGGTCAAGTTTGCCCAAGAAGCCCCTGCGATTGAAACAATCAAATCAATACTCGACTTCTTTCAGATGAATCTACGATCTAGCGATCAGACTGCATTGCGCCGCAAATCATCGCTCCAACCGCCTCCAACACTCCCGCAGGGACTCTGCCACCCCCTCTCCACTAGCGCCAACTACCGGCTGCTCTTTGTGGAATCCTCACTTGTCAGTGGTCGTATCAGGATTAACGTAGAACCATATCTGCTCTCGCAATTCTCCCACAGGGCGTCGCCCCCAAATAAGAGGATGAGAGACCTCGCCTTGGTCGACGTTCTTCAGAAGGATCTCCCTCCCTGACCTTGTTGCTTTTGTAATGGAGGCCGGTACTTTGGCAACCCTAGTGAACTCAAGTGTCATTAATGCTGGTGGTCATGGTTTGCACCTTATACGATAATCTACGAGACCAGACACAGCCAATAATAGAATGCAGAAAACATCAAGCCTTCTTCTCGATCGTCTTTGGTTCATCCCTTCTACAGTATATCTGGAAAGCTTCGTATTCTGACTTTTTACTACTATACTCACAACTATCGTCATGACAAAGTACAACACAAACAGTCCACGGATTATTGCGATGACCGTTATTTTTGGCACTGCTTCTGTACTGGCTGTGGTTCTACGATTTGTCGCGAGATCAAGAAACAAAGCACAGTTTACAGCCGATGACTGGCTTGCACTCGCCAGTGCGATCACCTTTCTGATCTGGATAATTCCATACGTATATTGTATGCTTGACAATCAGCAAGGAGTACTTTTTAGCACTGAAGATATGCGCAGGTGCTGAACATGGTTCTGGCTATGATCTTACCACATTACCACAAGCCGTTTCGGTAGAATATCTGAAGGTTAGACAGAACAAAATATCATTATATGCATCTGCTCACAGCTTCAGGGCCTATACATTAGCGGTATATTGGGTGCTATACCAGCCACCTTAGCCAAGTTGAGCGTCCTCTATCTATATCACCGTTTGTTTCACCGCGATAGAAAACTTCGGATTGCAGTCAACATCGTCGGCGTCTTATGCATTCTCTGGGCCGTTGCTTGCACTGTGGGTATGGGGCTGAAATGTGTCCCAGTCGAAAAGGCCTGGCACCCTCGACTACCCGGGACCTGTTTCAGCTTCCCGGTTTTTATAGTCGCCATCGAAAGCCCTAACGCGTTCCTTGATTTTGTTATCGTTGCGCTGCCGGTGAGAGTTATTAAAGCGCTTCATTTATCGCTCCAACGCAAGATGCTGATTTGTATCGTATTTATCTGTGGGGGCTTGTGAGTGTACCACCTCCATTTCAGGTCATGAGTTCCATCCATCTTACGGATCTAGCGTGGGTATTATTGGATTCATTCGGATAGCGTTGGTCTATAGAAGAGATGCAAGTGTGTTCCGTCCCCTCGCTACATTTATTCACCAGACACTGATTATCATGGAGTGTCCCTTACCCGCCTTGGGCTCTGGGTCCTGGTTCAGCTTTCACTTGCGGTGATCTGCGCATGTCTTCCAACGTACGGGCCATTGTTGCCTAACGGAGCTTTCCTTTCTAGACGGCTCAAAGAGTGGTACTCATCTGTGGAGTTATTGCTTGGACGATGGCAGAGGTCATCTTGCTCAAATCTTAAAACGGGTCAGTCTCTGGATTCGGACGCTTTGGAAAGACCTCATGATAAACACTATGGAAACGTCAACGGCGGAGGCGACAACATCGTTCTTACAAGTGTGGTTGGTGGATGCATGTACCCTTCCGATCACGACAATGCTGAGCGCGATTACATAACGAAGTTTGTCAGGATCAGGCAGGAGATCGAGATAGTCTGAGCAACGGTAACGGCGCCCGTTGGGCGTGGCGGTTGATAAGTATCCCATACCAAGGAGTTCCTAAATTCTATACCCCGGCCCTAGCAAAGCTATATATTTTACACCTAGAAGTCTAGAGTGTGAAGGGCGGGTCACCATGGCATTAAGACCTGAAATCTCTCAATATCCTCCTACTGAGTTAAATGAGCCCTGTCTTCACCTCCTTAGGAGCATGCACAATGCCTTTGGTAGTCTGGGTGGTTCTGGGAACATCATGGGCCCTCTCCATGATCGAAACCCACTCTGGACCCACCGTCGCAAAGCTCACTCAATGCGAAACATAATATTGATCCTCAGAGCCAATAATATGCGCTGCGGGAAGGGTAATCGGTTGGCCCACGGAGCATGCTTTGAATACCACCAAGACTGGATGGATTGCAGCCAGGTATTGCTGAGCCTTGCGCACCATGTAGGTAGGAGCAATGGCGGCGCGCTGTTAGAAGCCAATAACAGCATAAATGGCCCCTCAGAAGCGATGCAATCATCCAGATCCTGCAGTGCGGAATGTAAGCTCTGTACTTTCATCGAGATAGAAATCAGATTGATTCACTAGTGGATGAAGAGACTCGATTCTTATAGGGTGCTAACTAAGTTAGGTTTAGCTGCGCCGTAACAGGCGTTATGCATAGAGTTGGACGAATGTCATCGAGGTGCATGTAATAGTTCTGCGAGCTGTCGATAAATTATTCATCATCCCTGCTACTGTCTTGGATGTGATACGAAGTTCGGGGTCAGGTCTCGCTGCCTTGATATAGAGACCCCAATTATTGGTAAGCTTGTTGGGTGCCAGGGCCCCAGGGTCCTGAATCCTTGGCAACATACCTGTTTTGGGGCTCGAATCCCTGGGGCCGATATGTCAAATGAGTAATCCTGAAGCCTAAAGTAGTACCAGAGGCTTGACCACCAGACCTATACGCAGATCCGGCTGACGTACCTTTGCTGTTTGTCCCTGCTGTGATTATGCAAATTACCTATTGAGGCGCACATTCTGAGAACGGAACGATCGGCAATGGGTTGATTTGGGGGAACGGGCAAGAGCCAGGTTCTACGGTGACTAAGAGCAGTTAATCTTCCCAAAGAAAAAGAACACACCACCAAAAGGACAGCGCTTGTGGGTTCTGAAACACACGTAACTGACATGTCATGCCTGTAACAGAACCTAACTTAGCGGAGCGACTACGCGACCGGCCTATCTTACCCGTCTTAAAGCAACATAAGAAAAGCTGCTTACTACGTACTACAAGTAGAAACCATACTACTAGTAGTTAGTACTGTTCCATAAATGAGATTGGGGCTGGGCAATTTTAATGTTGGTTTAGCTCACAGATTCACTACTTGCTTCAATCGACTCTTTAAGGCTGAGGGAGAGTCCAAAAGAGGCTGGGCTGTACTGGCCTTTGTACTACCCCCTGATCATAAAAACGGTCCTTCATGAGGTCTCATTGGCCGGAAAGGACCTCTCTGTACTGACTTGGGGGTCTGTTCACGAAAGGCTATCCAACTTCTCAGTGCTACTCCTGTAGCGATCATCAACTACCAATCACGATTTCACCGCTCTGCTGATCACGATCGTGTGCATCAAGTCGCATAAGCATAAGCCCCATAACTTGGTCGGCGCCATTGAAAATATCGTCTGGAGATTGTGGGAATGTAATCCTTGTCAACCACGAACTGACAGTCGGCTCTAGAGCTTTGGGTATGAAATCGACCTGTTCTACGTCACCACCAAAAGGGTCGCAATGTTTTCATTACTACGTAGTAAGTCATGATTCTTGCCGTTTGCCCTTCTGGCTCAACCTTCCCACCAGTATCAGCGTCGATTACTTACCTTATGTCTGATTCCAATCCTGGTATATGGGCCGTCTGAGTTGCGGTGATAATGGTAAAGAATCTACAGGCATTGCCGCGATGTCCCTCGCCCTTCTTGAAAAGAAATTTAAGCCACAGCTTGGTCTTGGCCGGCGAATAACTGCGCACTGCAGCAGCCACCAATTTTCAAGCAGCCGCACCAGATTGATAGTTACAGAGTCTCTTCGGCACAGGACACTGAAAGAGCGGTCAACTACGAGGTCCTTTTCCGAAATGCAGAGTCTCTAGCAGAAGTGGGCGCGCTTATCGTGGATGGCTTACGGACGAAATCGGATAGACCTTGGCTATGGAAAAGGAGAATATCTCGACCAGCCGGCTAATGCACATATACGGCGTGGATTCCCTTTGCGGTGGTGGAGGTTCGGACATGGTTTCGGAGGGTCATTGGTGCTGAGGTCACAGTCTTTGAAATCTTGGTAATGAAGTATCACCTCTTTACTAATAGGACACATGGTGGCGCCGAGAAGTCAGTTTGTGACGGCTGATCTGAAGAATGATGCGGAGTGAACGTGTTGGCTCTGTGCAGATGAGCACATCGCTGGCCGTCCAATCTAGAGTGGTCAAGGGGAGTCTGGGAGTCTGGGTGGAGATATCATTGATTCGTATGATTGACAAGTATTGCTAGGTGTTTCCAGTGGTGCTGTTGTGTTTGTAATTCTAAAGCTTAGATACATAATTCTGGCCAATCTCAATCTTTGGGGCCAAAATGATCCAACGAGTTACCAAAAAGGGTGGAACGGTTCATCTTATCGAAAATAATGAGTTGCTTTCAGCAAAGGCAGTCTGGTCGGAGAATCCCATCATTATTGTCAGAAGACCTTGGCCCTACTAGGCAGACATGCGGACCTTGGCAATCTCCATCAGCCTCCAACGTGAACATCGTTCAGGATCAATTGAAATCTGCCTCTAAGAGGAGAATCGGCGGCATTGAAGCTTCTACGGGCATGCAAACATAGTATTTTCCATTACAACATCGCTCCTTTGCACTTCGCTTCCATCTTCAGCGCTCGAGTGAGTCTCTGTACGCCCTTTACCCCTGAACCTTTGGCACCGTCATGATTTTGAGCCGGAATTGATTACATTCTACGCCTCTAAAGCTACAGTTTGGTGAAGAGACGTCTCTTCCGTCTTCGACAGTCAATGCCATAACTTCAAGGACAATGCGGTCTTCGCATTGGTGACCAATCTTGTAGCCTCATATATCTGGGCTAGTTCCCAATTACACTCCTTTCCTTGACATAGGATTGCAGCTATGCAAGTGTTCGGCTTTGGCAAGAAGCGGCCTGCGGTCAATGATAGCCACTCGAATACTTTAAATGAATATAGCAAAGCTCCCTCTCCTCCTGAGGCTATCACCGGTGCGCCACCTGCATTTAGAGGTCAGTCCTCGTCACCTGCGCTTATGAGAAGCCCATTCCCAGAGTCATCGATCGATAGCAGGAGTCATGGCTCGACCCCGGTAGGCTCAGCAGCCCTTGATCTCCTAAGCGACATTACTGACGTTCTCCAGGTCAGTCGAGTACATCCTCAGCAAGCTCATCGCAACACCAGCGATCCAGTCGCAATGCATCTACTTATGGAGACAGCGATGGTCGATAGCAAGGCATTCGAAATACTCTCTTTCGAAGAGGTGGAGGAGTTGAAAAGAGAAAAAGCATCACTTCAAAATCGCATAGAGGCGACAAGACGAAAGCTCGCCCTGGAAAGAAAGCTGAGAGATGCTGCGCAGTCTTTGAATAGATTATACTCGACGAAGGGGCCTAAGGACAATGAGGGGCTAATGGTCGATGGTTCGCGGAGATCGCCCGAAAAGGCAAGGGAAAGCCTCGGAAACCGCTCAAGTTCAGACGATATGTTGAATCGGGCTGATGACGAGTTTGTAGTGAGTAATCGAAAATGTGATGGTTTGACGCACGATCTGTCCAATATGGAGAAGCGCTCTGAAGAAGTGGAAAAGCGTATTCTGGAGCACACCGCCGGGATACTACAGTTAACCCATAGAGGACTCAAGAAGAATGTTCGCAACTCTACCCTACCGAGGAGTCCTGAGAGCATGGCAAGCATTAATCATAAGAGCATGACTCATTTTGACGGCCTTGACGAGTTCGACGATCGAAGTCTGTATAAGAGTCTCGAGTACTTCGACGAACATAGTGGAGGAGATCGAAAGGCAGATTTGCAAATGCTGGAGCATACCGAGAAACAGCTAGATGACATGAACAATCGGTTACGCGATATGGTGCTTCAAGCGGACCCGAATCAACAGATCAATATGCCGCCGCAAAAGCTTACTAGCCCGGCAGCACAACAGAGTGGCGCTCAGATACAGGCGCATCTGGACTACCTGGGTCGAGCACTGGAATCCATGGAAGCAGCTCAATCACGGACTGTCCAAGATGCACAACGGGAAGTCTATGATTCAGAAGACCAAATGGAAGATATCAACCTCCGTCTGCACGACATGCTTCAGAAGACGAACAACGTTGTTCAATCTCCATCAGGGATTGCACCTGACTCGAGAGGCAAAAGCCTCCAATCACAACTCTCCTTCTCTAACATGGTTTTAGAACGTCTAGATCAGCGTGTGGAGCATCTAGTCGAGCAGAAGGAAATCCTATCGAGGCAGATCCAACAGCAAAGGGAGCTCAATTCGAAGTCTGATGCCCAAAGAGATGCTCAAATCATGGACTTGACCAATGAATTGTCGAATGCAAGGCGCCAACAGGCTGTCCTTGAAGAAGAGGCCGAGAGATCAGCAAACCAGATTCATCTCCTTATGGAACAATTGGACTCGGCGCGTCAGGAGTCCGTCCTGCTTGACCAAAAACGGCAATCAGATGACAGAAAAGTTTTACAGGCGGAGAAGGATGGCAGAAAGAAAGCCGAGGACAATCTCACCAAGCTGAAAGGAATCTTGCAGGCAGAAAGAGATTCCAAAAAGAAAGCTGAGGACCATCTCGCCAAGTTGAAAGGAGTACTGCAAGCAGAAAAGGCTGCCAAAGGGCGGGCAGAACAGAGTCTCTCCAAGCTTCAAACAACATTACAGGAAGAGAAGGACTCCAAGTCACGAGCGGAAGAGAGCTTAACCAAATTACAGAGCACATTGCAGGCTGGCAATGATGCTCAACGGCAAGTTAATGAGAACATTGCTCAGCTACAAGCTGCAGTGCAAGCAGAAAAGGACGCCAGAAGCCGTGCTGAGGACAGCCTAGCTCAACAAGAAGGGTCACTGCGACAAGAGAGAGATGCTCGACGGCACGCGGATGACACGCTTACACAATTGCAGGAAACACTTGAAGCCGAGAAAGATGCCGCGAGGAATCTCGAAGGACAATTAACGGAGGTCCAAGGAGATCTGGATGAAGCCAGAATTGACAAAGCACAGGCTGAAGCCGAGGTTGAGAGATGTCGCAATGAAATCAAGGACCTGGAAAGTGCTGTGGTTCGAGCACAGACTGACCTTACCGTGGTCCGCGCCGAGTTAGACGGCGCATATGGAACCCGAGCGCAGAGAGCAGCCGATGTTACAATGAACCCGGCTGTGCAGAAAGAGATTGATGACCTCAACGACAAGAACACTTCGCTGCAGAATGAAATCAACTATCTCAAGGGCCAAGAGTCGGGCAGTTCTGAGCTCAAGAACAAGGTTGACGTACTTCAGAAAGAGCTGAAGGAGACCATCGAGGACTACGAGCTTATGACCAAGGCCAGCATTGAGTTTGAGAAGGACCGCGAGCAACTTGAAGCCGCGGTGGATACCTTGCGAGAAAAGTGCGAAGCTCTTGAAGCACAGTTGAGTGATGAGAAAGTCAAGTGGCTTGGTATGAAAAGTCCAGGTGTTCAGGGCCCCGGCAGCCCTTCCACTTCGACCATGGTCTTGAAGAACGAGTTCAAAAAGATGATGCGAGACACCCGGGCCGAAAATCTGAAAGCTCTCCGGGTAAGACTCTTTTTTGTTTCCACACTATTGTGACATTTTGCTGATGTCGATCCAGGCGGAGCAAGACGAACGAAGAAGACTTGAAGCGCTCGTACGAAGTCTGAAGGCTGAGCAGCAACAATCTTCTCGACGAGCAGCAGGAGCGCCAACTGCAAACGACTCAAAATAATCCACACTGCGCCCAGGGGCACCTTCGAAATTTCCATCCACTACACTATACATCGCCTTTCTATGACCAGCAGGCATCAATATGGCGTATATATGGTGGGAGGACTACAACGAGTCCATCGCCTGTTATTATGTCATTGTGCACTGGACATTATCACTGCAAATTATATTGCCTTGGACAGATCTTTGATGAAGCTGATGCGAGACGAAGATGAAGTCTGCACCCCATGGACGTTTTGGGGACCAAGAGTCGACAATTTTACTTTGTACCAAAACCCACCATGAGAGGTGCATGTTGATAAAATCCGTCTCAGGTAGATTGGTTGATGTATGAGGTGTTACAGGCGCGGTTTCATCAAGAGTTTCTCTTGTCATACTGTTGTGTATGCATGAGCTTGGCATAACAAACTAATGCTTGAGACGCGGGCAACAACAATACGATATCAGCATATATAATGATGAATACTTGCACACACACACACACCTCGTTATTTCCGTCCACTGTTCAGTTTTTTCAAACCCGCTACACAATGCCAAGCTTAAAGGAAAAGCATTCTGCGGCATCCAGTCCCAATTCATCAACCACAAGGGTAATGCCTGCTGGGCAACATACTACACGTGTGCACTCGATACATCCAGACCCGGAAGACCCCAGTATTAGCCTGGGAAAGAAAATAGCAAGGTCACTTACCATTTATCCTCATCCTGAAAACGTGGTTAGAATCCGACGACTGCTGGACATGTATCGGTTTGACATTGAAATGATAGAAATGAAATCTGCTCATGCAGACATGAAGATGCTCACAGCCGCGGCTTTCGTCTGTGATCTTCCATGTCATCAAGACCGCTATGAACCAGCAACACGAGCCTTCATGAACAGGAGGCAGTACTGGATAGAGCAAGCGACAAAGGTAGTGGCGCCTGCACTTCGAGAAAGGGTTGAAGCACTTCAAGTGATGCTGTTCATGGTCAATCGACCACAGCTGTTTCAGGAGAAGATGGAGGCTTACATATCTCGATTTGTTATCGATTAATGTGTCCATGATGAGTCCATGATGAGTCCATGATGAGTCCAATGCGCCATATGTGTAAATGTTTGATCCGCTCACTGGTGTGATTTGGACGACTGTGGCGGCTCTTGAGAGCTCTTTCCATGCTTTTTGGTGTGGCCCTGGTATTTTCATTGCGCCTGCTGGATCAACACAGACGCTCTCATTGTCTTGCTCGCGTCCCGTTGTCCTCATCTTTGCTCTATCATATCATTCGTTCTCCTGTTTATCAGCGTGTTTCCCTTTGGATGATATAGTTCTTCGGGAGCATTTTTTAGCATTGCAGATATTTGTGAGCTCCGAAGACCATCTCAAAACAACATTGTTCGACGCATTACTACATCGATGGCAGTAACAAGCACTGTCAACCCGGGCGACTACTCCCCTCCCCTTGAGAATCTCACGAACGAGGCCCATCGAGCGCGAAGCGCACCATCGAAATCCCTACGGCGGACTCGATCTTCTCGGGCTCTCTTCCATTGTCTGGACTCTTCCGAATCAGTTCCGGACTTCAACAGTTCGATATGGGATGCAGACATTGCTTGTTCAGGAGATCGTGCTACAGAAAACAGCCCAAGCTCACCCGATATATCGCCAACGACATCCAGACATCCACAAGCTGATCCATTTCCGTCCTTCTCTGTCGTCCAGACATCTTCTCTTCCAGCGAACTTGCCCTTCCAGACTCCTTCGAACACTGATTTCCAACCTACGCAGCTAGAACCGATCGCTGAGCAGCGAACCCTCACCTCATCGGGTCCATCTTTCGCCCGAACTCGACTGAGCCAGAGCCCGGCACGGAGGGTCAACATCGTCCATCCGCAACAGTCCCTTCAGTCCATTCATGTCTCGCAGCGACAAATTCCTCCCTTGCTACCGAACACGTCGCTGCCTACGCGGCCCTATCGCCGTCGAGCCTTCTCACTGGATGATCTCGATTGCCTCAAATTTCCCTCTCTTGATTGTTTTGTAAGAAGCACAAGGTCATCTATATCGTCGTCTTCAGATCCTGAGCTGCTTGCTTCATTTGGCGAGAGATACTCTCAGCTAGCCGAGCCTCAACAGCCTTCTTATCCCGGTCCGGAGCGTACACCCACTCCACCAGGTGTGCCATCGTTCGGCAGCCCCGATGCTGTCAACTTTTTCAACCAGCCGCCAGCGCGTTTCTCGTCTTGGTGGCGCATTGGTAGGCCCACGCAGCCTGTGCCATCGTTCCCAGATACCTCGGTTGCCGCAGCGGCACTTGCAGGCAATCTAAGTTCGCCGTCTTCTCAAGCCGCTAGACCAAGCGGCTTGCTCCATCGTTTCATCCTGTTCAACATTGACTTCTCTTCGTCGCCTTGGACGACACAGCCACGGAGAGCATCTCTGCCTGCAGGCGTCCTACGAGCCGACGATGGAACGTTCGTTCGCGGTAGATTTGGTGGCAGAGTCAGTGGACATGGCATCAGCAGTCGAGGGCTTGATAGCCATCCCATACAGAGAGCGGTTAGTGCAGCAGGAGGAGAACGGAAAGATGCTCCTGCTGAAGGCGGTGGCTGTATTAGGTCTGTAGGGCAACCGGAGAGTATTGCACAATCACAAGGTCATCAAGACACAGTGATGAGTGGTGCTGTACATCGCCCTGCTAGCATCTCTTCACGGTTAACTACATTGTTTAGTTGGGAGAGTCGAGCTACAGAGCGGTGGAGGGAAGAAGTAGCTGCCTCAAGAGAGGAGGTTGGGCGACCTCAGACAGCAGTGCCGCAAGAAGCCGTGGCACAAGCCCAACCAGCAGCAATGCTACAACATCAACCAACAACACCGCACGAAGCACAAGCGTCTATCGTCGTCATCGGCGACGACCTCGCAGTTGGTCTAAACGAGTTGCTGCATCCAGATTCCGACAACCGCGCCATATCCCTGACCCGACAAACACCGCTCGAAAACAACGACGACGACCTCGCAGCTGGCACCAGTGAATTCCTATATCGAACTACCACGAATTCCACCATCCGACCGGCCCCCCAGAACTCCCTTGAGAACAATGAGAATGGCAATCATGCAGCAACTAGACCCCCCTCAGCCAACGAGAACGCGGACAACGAGAACGCTACCGCCCACACCACTCCTTCTCCGTCCACATCTACTCCTGCGCCCCAAAAGGAGAAGGAGTCGGAGTCAGGGCTCTGGCACTGCATCCACTGGTTCTGCATCTGTTGCTGTGAGATGACGGACAAAGAGTGGGATGGTGGTGGCTGGTATGGTGCTGATCGGCCCTGGTTGAGGAGCGCTGCCCGACGGAAGAGGAGGGAGGAGGAGAGGGAAAGAGGAAGGAGGGAGGAGAGCAGGGAGAGGAGAGATGAAAGGGATATTGAGAGGTGGAGGGTCGAGAGGGAGATGCAGGCTCGGAGGGAGGAGAGTAGCCGGAGGGAGAGGAGGAGAACTAATGAGAGTTTGGGGTGGTGTGGAAGTGGTGGTGGTGGGGAGGGGAATGTGGTTGGTAGCGGGAGCGGGAGCGGAGGCGGGGGCGGGAGCGGGCCTGCGGATGGACAAGTGTGGACTACGCAGGGACAGGAGGGCCAGGGTGTGCTAGGGATGAGATATCGACCTGGTGGGAGTAGAGGGTAAAGAAGAGAAATGATCATTGGAGGTTGATGGGAGAGTGGATACATTCGTGGATGGTGGTGGCGATGCTTCAGACCTGGCATATCCCGTGCATAGATAGATAGACAGATAGGCCCTTTTTGGATCTTGTCGCTCTTTATGATCAGCCCTACTCAACTAGTCAACCGATCGTCCATCCGTCCATCCGACCACAATACAACATTTCACCTCTACAGTCTACCCGAGTCACGCGCTCTATCCTATTTCACCTTCCCATTCGGCTTTTGCCGTACCCCCTAGGCCTCAGAAAAGAAAGAGAAAAAAAAGGTAACGCGGATAATGAAGGGAATGCTCTTTTGGGCCGGGAAGACGGGTATTCTCAGATATCCAGAATTCTGAACGAGCACGAGCTACAGATGAGATCTGAGTCGCGGCGTTCAAGGGGAGGAGAGGATGGATTGATCCAGCTCCAGCTCCAGCTGCGGCAGTCCTTTGATAGCGCCTCCTTCAACCTGTTGGATGACCTTTCTGTCCTTTGAAGGGGGGCTGGTCATGCTCTATCTGTGTCATGAATTTTGGTGCTGTGCATTTCGGAGCGAGTGGGTTGGTTGGTTACGTGTTCGGCTTTTCGGGGAAGGGGAGAGAGCTTTTTCCGATTTGATCATCGTCGTCATCGTCATCGTCATCGTCATCGTCGTCACTGTCATCGTCGTCACCGTCATCGTCGTCATGGTGCTGTGTCATCGTCGTCGAGTGGGTTGGTTGGTTACGTGTTCGGCTTTTCGGGGAAGGGGAGAGAGCTTTTTCCGATTTGATCATCGTCGTCATCGTCATCGTCATCGTCATCGTCGTCACTGTCATCGTCGTCACCGTCATCGTCGTCACCGCCATCTCCGAACTCTGTCTGGGTGGCCTTTCTCCTCTTCCTCCTCATATATTCTTGTAGAAAGAGAGACAAACAGAAAAGGGTCGGAAGACATGGATCAAGCCAAAATTAGAGCAGTAGGGGAAGAGAAAAGGAAGCAAGGTTGTGATTCATTCTTTCTTGGGGTGATCGAAGCCACAGATAGGAGAAGCGACTGGGGTGGGTTAAGAAGCGGGATGAGTGATTATGTAGTAGACCCTGTTCGAAGCTGGGATTTCAGCGTCTACGAGCGTGGAAGCTGTTCGACGTTAATGTTGACGTTTTGGGATGTTGGGATGTTGGGATGTTGGGATGTTGGGATGTTGGGATGTTGGGATGTTGGGATGTTGGGGAACAGGATATATCATCGTGGTAGATTAAGTAAAGCAATGTTACCAGTAGTGGATGTGTCTCTACTCTCAGGATTCTGGCTGTCAGTTGATTGGTTGATATATCAAGGGTTGGGATAGGCCATCAATTCAGCTCCGCACGTAGCCTTGCAGGCAATTCCAGAACCACTGACTTGAAGAGCGCGACGTACTCGGTATTGCTATGAAACCAGCAACAACTCGACACGCCCTCCACTTTCGACTGCTCATCCAGTGGCAGCCTAAACCTTCGCCCTCACGCAGATGACTTCCTCAGACCTCTGTCAGAATCCCTGCGCATACGATACGTATCTGTTACGTATTAGCAGGTTGATACAGGGGTCCCCGCATGCGAAACGCACGAAACGCTCTTGTAACTTTTACGCCCTGTTATTTATGGCAGTGAGCATTGTTATACGAATTGAACGCCAAATGCTGTTTCTGAGCTGTTGCAGTAATGCGCTTCTATAGCTATTAGTGTGAGCAAATGCTCCTCTTGATAGGAGTAACTAAATCAATTCAATTGGTATCTCCGTACGCTATTTGCTACATCCTCTAACAACCTCATAGACCATTACAAGCTCGTGGCAGAGTTCCACCACGACTATACCCTGCAAGTGGTCCACAAGTCGGACCCTGCTAGTGGCAGGCGAAAGATGACCATCAAGAAAAGATGGTACACGGTCAAGCGAATAGGGAAGGGCGCATATGGAACCGTGTACCTGGAACGAGAGGAGACGGACGGTGTCGAGAGTCAGCGTGCTGTAAAGCGAGTACCAAAGTTGTTGGCTTCAGGCGCACCAGTGGATTATAGTAGGGAACTGTTGGCTATGGCTCTCCTAACCAAGGTATGTCTCTCGGACAGGAATTTCATTGCGATAGTTTCCCCTCGTGTGTTGTTGTTAGCGGGTCCATGTTGCCCTCAGGCTGTATTTGTTCCAACGATTTTGCAAAAGTGCTACAAGCCTTTGCAAAGGCAATGGCTTTAATGGTCAAAACCAAGACCCGCAATTACCCCTTTGCTAATAACTACCTTAGCACGAGGAGGTATTTGTTCTTTTCCATGGATGGTATGAGTCCAAGAATAGCATTTATCTTGCAATGGAGTACATCCCACACGGAGACCTGCAGCAATGTGTCCGATCCAGGCTTCCTGAAGACGAGGCGAAAGCCATCACAACGCAAATATTGGAAGGTCTTTGTGTCATGCATGAGCGTTCTATAACTCACCGTGACCTTAAGCCTCAGGTACGAGTCATTGTTTCATTTCTTTTGCTGAATATACTGACTGTCTTGACTGCGTAGAACATCTTCGTTGTCAGCCCAGGCCCGAATTGGTGGGTCAAAATAGGAGATTTCGGCATCTCGAAACGTGTTGAATCGAGCGACACCGCTCTTCGTACCATCGCAGGTACCATGAATTTTATCGCACCAGAAATTTTTGGAATCTGCGAAGGGAGCGAATTTACATCCGAATACACCAGTGCGGTCGATATCTGGTCCCTCGGATGCGTCGCTTATGTTCTTTTAACATTGAGCGTTCCATTTTCCAACAACCTCGAGCTTCGCAAATTTTGTCGTGGCAAACTTGACTTTCCAGTCCAAAACTTGCAAGACAACAAGGTCACAATGAATGCGCTTTCGTTTCTGAAGCAGTTGCTCATGGCCGAACCCTCTCAGAGGAAAAGTGCACAAGAAGCCCTTACTTCGCCCTGGCTTACCGGTGGGTCGACGAGGGAATCCGGCGAAAAGTCGTTGGACGTGCGTTGGTCAAAGGCAGAAGATCAGCCAACATTCGCAACCTCGAGCAGTAAGATTCTTCAGGAATATGGGAAACGAGTAAGACAAAGACCGGTGAGTAACCTTGAACGTTCAAACCCCGAGTCGCTCATCCGCTGGTTGAAGGATCTCCCACTGACCTGACCGCAGCCGCAAACTATAGTACGCCTGATGGCATACAATCTCGACAACAATTATCCTACAATAACATTGTAACACGAGAATATCACATTCCAAAGATACCTCCCAATTGGCAGGCCCGTAAGGAAGCAGTAGATGTTTCCATTATGCCAGATTCCAGCAGCGGCGGACTAGGTGATTCGAACACAGCTCCCAAATCCACTTCAAACAAGACCGGTCCGGCTCTTTTGCCAGTTTATAACATTCAGCACCCATATGACGAGACGCAGAAAACTCTGATTTTAGAGCAGACATGGGGTGCGGAAGGAGCAAGACACCATGACCTTGTACAATCCAGGACAGGAAAAATCTCTACGGAAGATATCTATAAATTCTTTGAAGCTGCTTCTCAGGGCGATTTAGAGACATTGGAACATTTGATCCACATCGGAATCGATGTCAACACTAAGAATCCTATGAAGATGGAGGCAGAACAGTGGCTCAACGTTTGGGGCCACGAAAGTATGTTTTTTTGGGCTAGTAAAGTGTTGAACTAAGTTAGGTGGGGGAACGCTGCATCGGCTGTCATGTTTCGGGAAACAGCTTTACATCGTGCTATCATATACAAACAAGTGGACGCAGTTTCTCTTCTACTGGATCAAGGTGCTGATTGGCGCGCCAAAGATTCCGCCTTCGGCGCTCCTGCTCTGGTATGGGCAGCGGCTGCTGGTATTGAAGCTTCGGTTTATAAGCTTCTACGAAGCGGGGCGGATGTGGATGGAACGAGCGTTTACAACCGTACAGTGATGCACATGGCTACAAAGAACGGTCACGCATCCATATTTACGCTGTTACTGGGGCGAATGGCGAACCCCGCTCCGCGAGATGATATGGGAAGAGCACCCATTCATTGGGCAGCTGAACAGGGCCATGCTGGAGTTGTTCGAGCTATGATCTCAAGCCCAAGGGTGGATATAGATGCAAGGACCGAAACTTCAAAGTGCACTGCGCTTCGCTTAGCCGCTGAATCAGAGTTCACGGCGCTTCACTTAGCCACTCACGGTGACCATATAGAGGTTGCACAAACCTTGCTCACCAGTGGAGCCTTCGTCGATGCTCGGGGATCCCATGGTTATACACCTCTCCACAGACTCATCCAAAATCGGATGTATGATACACAGGCTCGCTTAACGTTTATATCGCTGTTGCTGGATTACGGCGCTAATATCAACGCGGAAACCAATGATGGACATACAGCGCTTGACTTCGCATGCAAATCTGACAAGAAGTCTTCGAAAAAACTTCTGATACAGAGAGGAGCAAGACACGGCATGAAGGATGCTATGAAGTAGAGGTCAGCGAGCCAAAGTACCTAGTGGATCTGATGTAAGCACTACGTGAGGATGCACATCAGGGGCAGCCGATGGCTCCCACTTCTCCCTGAATCTTCGCCAATGCCTTGCCTTCTTTTCCCGTCTCTCTCGCTCTCGCGCCATCGAAGGCAAAGGGCCGATGGCACGTGCCAAAAATAATGATAGTTCTCGCATCCCCTATTAACCACCCACTCTTTTCTAACCTCTATAGCTCTACCAATTCTGCTTCAAATTATCTCAAAAATGGCCAGATCAAACAAAACCGACCGCAGAACCTGCCGACAGGCTCATCCCTCGATTTCGTTGAGTCCTATAGCTGAGCGACAAGCAAATACTATTGTTGATACTCCACGGCGCATGCGCCTCCTTTGCGACGCGCGTTCTACAGCAGGCAAATTAACTCGGAAGGAGTTATTTAAGAAGCATAATATAGCAGAAGCAACAGGCTATCGAATCCTCAAATCAAAAATAGCGCGCCGAAGCGAACAGATCCATAATCGAGGGCGAAAAGCTGTTTTAGCTCCTCACGAACGTGATGCTATCGAAACAGTCAAAAATGCTTCATTTCGCTTTGGAACTTCTACTTATTTAGCTGTGGCAAGCTTACTTGGCCTAGCTAATAGATCTGAACGTGCTATATAAAGAAATATAGCTGAATATAGAATAAGTATATTTATAACGTAATAAAAAAAATTTATATATTAAGAATTAATTAAGAAGCACAAATTATAAGGATTTAAATATTAATATTAGTATTTAGATAACTTTAAACGTTATTACTATAATAATAAATGTTACTTTACTTGTGTCTTTTAATAACAAACTCGAATCCATTATTATTGTAATAAAAATGCTTGAAATACGTTAGAAAAGATCTAATTTTGATTTAAACAAAGAAATCAAATTTAGCATGTGTTTATATATATTAAATGGAATTTCAAGAGTCAGCTCTACTTTTATTAAGGCTTAGGAGTTAGAGGACGTCTAATTTAAGCAGATTATTTAATGTTTTTAAACGATTTTATTACTCCTAATTAGGAAGAGGATTAGATACTTATAAAGGATAATAATAATGCTCACAGCACCTGTCACGGCTGTCATGCTTGTTAGCCGCTAGCGCTAGGGCCGCCGGGTATTGATTAGCACTACGCGTTAGTAAGGGGCATGCTCGCTATATAGGAGCGACCCCAGTGCCATCCTCGTCAGCTCTGCAGTCTTAGAATAGCACTCAACATAGGCTGAAGATCTCACGCACTTGTCGCCTGCTTCTAACGTAACACGTGACATTATCCTAAGACTGCTCTTTGACTGGAAACGGTCGTTAAACTATCGACTGCAAGAGATCTGTATCTCTGGACCCGTTGCCAGCTCATTCTGGGTCGGTGTTGACATTTGAGGTTAGACTCGAGTTTAAAGCAAGCCTCTCTGACACCCTCTGCGCCCCTGATGAGGTTAAAAAAGATAAAGAGATTCAGACCTCTGAATTCAAATAAGCGGGATCCTCGTACCTAGTGAGTAAAAGAACAGGGTGCCCTGTACACATATATATAAGGACTCTGTGGTCAAGGCGGAGTATAAACATAGGGTCGACATACTCTAGAGCTGTCGGACAGCTGCCCTGTTTAAAGGGGCTACTAACTTTTTCCCTATCTTAATAATCGCGATACCCTCTTAGGTCCTGTCGTATTTCTCCTCTGACTTACGTAATACTCTATTAGAGCTAAGCTATACATTAATAATAGTAATACTTATTAGTGACTAGTTACTAATATACAAGAATGCAGAGGCAGCTGCCTAATTTAATATAGCTATCTTTAACTTATCTAGTCCGATTAGGATTAATAACCTTACCCCTAATACTAAGACTAATTATTAAAATCTTATCCTATTCAATATATAGGAACTAGAAACAAACCTTAGCCTTAAGATACTTGCAAATTATTATTACTAAAACCTAGATCAGGCGAAAAAGACATTAGAGTAGCCAACTCCTGCTTATTAAAGACATTAACTCTAATAATATTAGATTATAACTCT